TGGTACCAGACTCGTCTTGGAAAATAAAAGCGCTGGCTTGTACAATGACTGGCCACCGCAAGTCATCGTATAGGCCGTATGCGCACTCATTACGCCACTACGATTCTGAATGGAAGTCGAGTGCGGGGGCGCATCCCTCAGACAAGATTGTTCAAAGTCAAAAACTTTACCCTTCTGACTTTGAACAAATTCGAATCTTCTGTCCTAATCTTTGAGCATTACCATTTTTAGACCCTGACGTCTGGCATGTGCCTATTGACAACCACGATTCGACATCAGTTTTGATGTGCGAGTACCTGAGGTTAAGCCTACAACTTGGCAAGAGGCGAATCTCAATACTAACAGAGCGATTGGTGTGCCTATAAGGACAAAAGGGGAATTTTGTAAAAGGAGACAGAACAGCTGAACAAATTTCGCGTCGGAACCCGCTTAGACCAACCAGTTCTACTATCCTTATGCGAGTTTTTCACATGGTACCAGCTCCGTTTGAAACGACGGAAACACTGAACTGTACATTGACTGGCCCCGAGGAGGTCATAGTAAAAAAGTAGTATGTTGAACTACTACTTAAATGCGCTATCTAATCCCGCATGGAGTGCTATGGACTCTGAAAGAAGGTCCTAAGGGTGGTGCAGGGGTGCAGAACGACGTCGAAAACCTTATCCTCCGAACTTTGAATACAATTCCAACTGGAACCGGTAAATGTGTTCAGCAAGGTAAGGGAACGAGTATCTTGATCCTATTATTCAAGCCAGTTCCGAGACATCAATTGAAGTGAAGAAAAGTGCGCAACGTAATTACCGGCCGCTCACAGATGGGTCAGTTGGTCAGAGACAGACACACGCAACGGCGACAGACTTCCACTCGAGATTTCACTTTCATCTTCCAGCACTACGCTGGTTTCGTCTGATGCGGACACCGATTCCGCTTCTGATTTTGCTGTCAGTCAGAGGTGAGCATTGGAAAACATTTAGCTCCATGTCTACTGGTACCTAAAATCCCGAAACTCTTAGGATACGCGGAAATCACCTCATCAGCCGATCTCAATTGCGATTTCTCGACGGCATGCCATTGGAGGAATGCAACTGGCCCGGAAGACAGCGGTGAATGGATCGTCAGCAATCGTTATGAAGGAGATCCGTTGCATTTGATCACAACCAGGAAGTCAGGCGGTTAGTCCGAGAGAATCTTTTTGCAGAACCGTTTTCGATGGCAATTACAGACGGCTTCTTCGCCTACACAAGTGGATTCATGGGCAGAACTGTCTCTCTACTAGTGTCGGAAGTGATTTCCTGTCAACTTGGAGGGGGTAACGTCAAGTACTGGTACTTCAAAACTGGTATCGAATCGCAATTGGAAGTATGTGTACGCCAGCCACCAGGAAGTAAAGACGTTAATGCGCTCAGGTAAGGACCAAAAACATCTCCAGTGAAAATCTGAGCTAATAACCACCACAATTTCGCCTTTTCCCTCCGATCACCCAAAGCGAAAAAACCTCCAAACTCGGCCTCAATTCAACATTCATTCATATTATAAACGGACTCGAACCCTTCAATCATATGGACCGTTGAAAAGTACTTTCTAGTTCCTCCCTCCCCAACAATCACAAGCGGCAACGTCAAGCAAAACTTACAAAATCTTCTGAAGTTCCTTATTCCTCCACTGCTAGTTACACACACTCCTCTTTCAGCCATTGTATAAATACCACAGACCTCTACGCTCTCAAATTGACCAAATACTACTCCTATCTCCACTCTGTCTTTTGACCCCTGATCCCGGGCAGAAAACTTTCTCAAGCTAATCACCTTTTCCTCCCTAGAAATAAACGGCTCTTCCAGGCGAGTAAAATTGAGTTCTCGTTCATGCAAGCGTATACAACGCCATAAAAACTTCCGGTCCCACTTTTTTCTCACTAAAAAAGAGGTCTTAATGTGCCCTAAAATCGAAATTTCAGATGCTACGACGGGTTATCGCCGAATTTCATTCAACAATGGATCTTCCGCGTAATTGAGTTACCACCTCTATCGCAGCCTTTTGAGGTAAGATCTGAGAACGAGATTGCTAGAGACCGAGCTGATGTATTTCTGGTTTAGCTGGTCTTTCGAGGGACATTCTATCCACCATTGGACGTTATCGCTCTTACTGAAATCAACTATACATCAACACTTTGTGGTGAGTGCCCTCAAATAATTCTGTCTCACCAATTTGCTGCATTCACTTGGTCATGCCACCATTGCTAACAAGGAGCCTTCATTTAAAAAGTCCAAAAGAATGTTATCTCAGCGATATAAACCTATTTTGAATCATACCCTCCAAAAGCGTATTTTATTCTTAATATTACTATTGAACAATGGCGTCGAAGAAAAAGGAGTAACCTTGCGATGAACAAGTCTTCCTCTTTGAAAACCTTTTCTCATAACCATTTTGTTCCCTTTAGGGAATTTAGAGGGACTCTGGGACTATTTTGAATCCACAATAACTCATAGTATGTTGAACAGAATAGCCAATAGCCCTGTTTTGTTCTGGATACCAGTCCAGTACATTGAAAAAACCTCAAAAAATACAGTACGTGAACACCTTCCAAACTAGGTCCTTTCAGATGACCATCAAAACCGGCAAAAAAGGCTGGCACCTCCTTTGGTCGGCTTCCACGATTGGCAGGAAATACGCCATTCTGATAAATACAAAGGAGAGACGATGATAGTCGTGGCGCAACCTACGGCAGATGAGACAACAACCGAGTTCTTGCAGGGGGATAAGAAGCTCTTTGAGCAGACCAAACTGACGTTTCTCGACACCACAACTCTTCAGCCCACTACCCCAGCCAACACAGAAAGCCCTCCCACGACGACTTTTACCGCACCTTCGACGACTTCCACCCCAGCTGCGACGACTTCTACCGTAGCTGCGACAACCACTGCTATAGACCTGGAGTCACTTTTTACGACAACGCCAAGCACCGGGTCTACCACTGACCCAATGGCAAATTTTATGCTCCTACTCAAACAGACCGTCCCAATCTTACCGTATATACCAATCCTCGTAAAGAGTCTTCAAGCTGATGCACCCACTACAAATGGGAACGGGGGAGTATTCGAACAAGCATATTCCATGCCGAATATTCAGGCCCCTGCAGCACAACAAGATCTTCGTCGGTCTCCTCCAGTGGTTGCATCCCACTTTTACAACACAGACCCAGTGTCTCCGCTACCACCGCTACCTAACGAGCCTGAGCCGAGCTTAGTGGAACTCGCGAAGAAATTCGGTCTCCTTGGAGAAGATGATTCGCTCACAACAGTCTCTCCACCCATTTTCAGCCTCGGAGCCCCAACCGAAACAGCGCCTGCTATTTCGGCGAGGAACGTTTTCGGTATGGCTATGACAACGGAAAGGTCTGAAACGTTACCAACGGTCTACCCACCGAAACTGGTAAATATGAATACAGCCAAACTGAAAAAATCGACACCCTACACGAGTTCGCAAAGGCCCGAGGGAAAGCACCCAGAGAACCTCCAAGAACTGTACAAGAAGCGTCGTAAAGGAATGGTGAGGGAAAGAATTATTACCACCACCACCACCACTACCCAGGAACCATCCAAGGAATTGGTTATCTTCAAGAAACCCACTCGAATGGAATCCGAAGTGGCCAATCAACTAACAGAACTGACAAAGTACCTTCCAAGTGGAGCTGTCGACGACCTAAAACTTTTGAGAGAAATTCCTGATATCGAAGGCCTCACTCGAGGGATGGACCTGTCCCTGGTGTCTAAACCGGGAGGTTTTGCAAAACTGAAAAAACAATTCGTTGAACGGTTAATGCGACGAACCATCGGATTACCAGTGGAGGACCCCACTCACTCAATGCCTCCGCCGATTTTACCTGTTCGAATCACCCACAAAACGATGCGAGAACGATCACGTAAATTAGCAAAAAGAATACGAAAAAATAAAGTATAAATGAATAAATCTATTATATGGTGTATTGTGATTGAAATTATTATTGGGTATTTTCCCCAAATATTTATCTATTGATGTGAAATTGAAACAGTATGAAAGTGGATTTAGAAATTTCGAACAATGGAGCAGAACAAAGTGCTGGCGGAAGTTTTGCTACAGAAGACGTCACACCCTCGAGGCTTGTGGATTTCAGTGAAGGAAATGGTGAGTGTAATGAAAATCTTCCCTATGGAAAATTTCGCATCATTAGCTAACGCTTTCGGGATGCGCCAGACATACGATTATGTTCGAACTTGAAAGCACAATTGATTGATGGAAAACGAAAATTTTCGGAGCCTTCGGAGCCTCCAAGTGCACTAAAGTACCCTTGTTAGTAGAATAATCACGAGGAGATGCCGCTGGACGCCCTTTGAAATGCGTCAGGAAGACAGTTTTCAGACGTCTTCATCATTCAGATAGAACAACTTACTGCAGTCCATTTATTTTTTCTACAATTCAAAGTGTTTTTGATAACCTCTTCAGCGTCACATACAGTACTTCCTCACTTTCAGATGTGGAATTCACACCTTTTGGAAGCGAATGGAGAGCCCCACCAGCTCATAGGCCGACACAGCGAGCGCTTAACTTTGCCGCTCCGACAGCAGGCCGTGCGTACTCAGAGGAGCAGAGTTCACCTCGGATTGGAGCCGCCTTCACACCACTGTGTCCACTCATCGACTGTACTTTTGACGACAACGTGAGTGATGCATTAGGCTCGATGGAGATTGTGCATAATGTGAACCAATCGCCCACAGAGCTTTCCCATGTTTTTTT